CGGTCCCGCATGAGAGTCCCGGGTCCTCAACGATATGTTTCTATTTTTATGAGTCCCGATCCAAACGATCGAGTAGTCGAGCGGAGCCGTAATTTGATGTATGAATTTTATCGCAGTAAGTTTCAAATTCGGATGAGAGTCCCGAGCTCTCATTCAGCGAATGAGGAATATAGCTCCTTGCTCAAAACCTCCAAAGTTCCTCGGTCCTCACTGATGAGGGAATAAGGGATGAAAGTATAAGCCGACGGTGAAAAGGGAAAGTCGAATATTGCAAGCCGTTGGCTGTATCGGATCATATTCTGCGTCCGGATTCGCCGTGGCTGAGATTCAGTTTTCCGGCTTTGAGCATCTGAGACGGTTCTGGAGCCGAATCCTGTCTATATGGTTTCCATTATCTAAATGATTCAGTTCGGTCGTGAGGTGACCTCGCGGCAGCGCGTATGCAAATGTAGATGTGTCGGGCGCCCTGATAATCCGACTCGCCTCCGGAGTTGCGAGGGAGACGATGTGCTGATACCCCAACCCCAATACAATGCCTGATATTCCGCCGCTTCCGTACCACGATCGTCAGCTCACTCAGTGGCGCAATGCGCGATCGTTCGCTCCGGCACCCTTGAGTACCACAATCCATCATCACGCACCACGTTGGTTTCAATGTTCCATGATTATTAATAACTGAGGTGATTTGAAGGTTCCAGAGGTAGTTTCCTGGACACGTAGTCGCGGGGAATTCAATAGCCTCTCTGACAGTTTTCCCTTGCCAGATGTCGCCTGGAAAGCCTCCCGCGATTTCGAAACCCTCAATCCGAAACCATTCGTGCATCCGTAACCAGATCCGTCACATTTTTTTGGACAGCGTCCATAATGACGTAGTTCTACGTCAAAAGGCACTGAAACTAGGCAAAATAGGCGTTATAGGCAGGGAAACAGACGCATCGAAGCGTCCATCAGTGTCGTATTGTGAGAATTTCATGTGCTAACATGGATTCCCATCGGTGAGTAATCGACGCTGATCCGATACGGGCATTTCACAAGGACAAATTTTTTTTGCGCGCTCTGGCGGAGCATCGGAACCTGTCGAGAGCAAGATGTGCTTTTGGAAACTATGTTCGCCGACCTCATCTCATCACCGTTCTCAATAAGAAGCCCTCAGTTTCCCCCGAATCCTCGGGATTCGGCCCATCAGAGGCTCGAAAGGCACTCCAGGCACGAAAAAAATGAAACAGGCATTTTACATCAAAAAATGCCGAAAAAAACAGATATGGGCATCTAAGGCATAATGCCTGAACTTCCGAGCTCTATTCATTATCGAGCCTCTCTGAGTCAGGATTCGGAATCGATCACTTTATCGCTATGGCAGTGATGGCAGCGAGAGCTCTTCAGACTTTAGGTTCAAAGTACTATCGACGCGGACGCATCGTCGGAAGAGGGCGAGAGTTCACAAACCCGCGAAAGCTAGCACCCCAAGCGATAGCGCTCAGAAGAGTAGGAATTCAAGCCACGCTTGTCGTTGGAGGATCAAAGAGAAAAAAGAAGAACAACTTTCGTGCCCTGAAATCAACCACACGTTAAACTTGAAGCCAAAACTAGACTTCGTTTGTCGAAGCTTTCACACAGGGTGGCGCGAGAGAGAAGGTTCGCCTCCCGGCCCTCTTCCTGCGGGGGGAGACGAATCTGAAAAAAACTATGGCGGCTCCAATTGACCGGAGGTTCATCTGACCCCTATTCCAGCCAGGGCTAGCTCGAGCGGCTTCTATTAAGCATCCGGTGATAATGAGAGATCATCGAGAGGAGTTAAATGAGCCTGAATATTCTCCGGATTCGAGCCGAAAATTATATGATGATATGATCCGGAGCGGAGTGATTCCCCGTAGCGAACCAGCGAGCAGAGCCCGACAAATCTCTCCTAAAGCGCTGAGAATTCTCCGAGAATTAGTTGTTCACCTCACGACTCTGGTCGGCAAACTCTTCAGTTTGCCTTTCTAATCAGTGTCCTCTCGCCTCGACAGTCAGCGACGAGCTCAGCTCGGATTCGGGAAAAGCAAGAGAGAGCCGGACTTTGAACAAAACGGTGGGCACTAATTCAAAGCGCCCTCCAGATCGAGAGACGAAGATTTCTCCATAGCTCAGCTTCTTCTGATTGGTCAAGTCGGAATTTCGGCCGTGATCGGGTGCCAGTTGTCGGTATCAGGCGAAAGAGATAGACGGGAAAAACCGGCACTGCTGTCTGATGGAGGTTGCCCCAGAACACCAGCACAGTCATGGAAAATAATCGCGTGCCGGATGCTATCAAAAGAACCTGAGATGACTAAAATCCTTGGAAGAGCCACGCACGGAAAGAGAGTGGGCGTGTATCACTTTCGAATATTTCTCGCCGTTCTAGTGTTTCCCATTCCGTCACTCCACTATGAACAGCGTTGGTGTCTTGATGTTTGTACTCGTGATGGGTTTGTATCGGTTCACCAGATTGAATTCGATAGAAAGCAAAGATGACTCCCTGCGCTTGGGCGGAGCGAAATTAGTTCTGATTGGCTGAGGCTTCTCACCGCCCGGGACTCGATTTTTGCCGCTCAAAATTGTTGCGGGATATATGTGATGTGCAACAGCTGAAACTTTCAGCGAACCTCAAAGTTTGGGCTCAGAACGACGAAGGATGTGCCAATTACCAAAAAGTGTGCCGATCTTCCCAGATACGGAAAGATTGTCAAATGACCCGATGGGACTGCCAAGATCTCGGATACATTGTACACAACGGTGAGATCTGCAGGGTGACGCGTCAGGCACCACGTCATGCCGGCGTCGCGTCGATTTGAGCTTCAACATGTACATTTATGGTGTTACATTCAGCGCCTAGGTATGAGAAGGCTCCCTCTGTTTGCTTCTTGAAAGCTTGCGAGATCGCGTGACCTTCCGACACGATCTGCTTTCCTATCCAAGGCGACTCTAGTCATCTTAACGCTATGACAGTATTGCACTCCGCTTTCGCAGATGCCGAATATCCGGAAATCACTGGGAAATGCAACGAGCGAGGTCCTCGATACTTCTGTAACTCCCAGAAAAAAGCCGATGAATGTAAAGCGAACCAGGAAATCTGCCGGAAACTGGGCTACTGGAATTTCTGAAACTTGCGGCGTTTCGACCTTGAGCAAGTCTCACGGAGGGCTCCTCATTGTCAGCTCACGCTAGCTTGCTGCGACTCACCATCAGCCTTTCCGATTTTTAGGGTCCATTGTCGCATCGACCGCTTTCGATAGGCCTAGCGCTCCACTCATTTTCCGGGGCGATTCCCTCCGGATAATGATTCGACTGGGAACTCTACACCTCAACTCCGGAGTGACGAGCGGCCGATTGTAAAAAGCAAAAACTAGATACTCTGGATCCGATTGTATTTGTAAAAAGCAAAAACTAGATACTCTGGATCTGGTTTATAGGCCCGACCGACCAGAATTTTTCGGGAGAATAATTCTAGTCGTCGAGTCGTGTGTAGTTATTGAGGATAGTCGAATAAATTATTCATCGATTTCAATAAGAACGTAAGCATGAGTTCCATCAGCTTTATGTCTGATTACCGATTCGCTCTACAATCTGTACGTTTCGGAATCACCAGTCGCCTTCACAATCTTGAATGCCAGTCTCCCGGATGATGGAGTCTTTCATCTCATAGACGGTCCACATTCCGATCGCGAAATGTTTCGCGACACTGTCCTTCTGTCCGAGCCAGTCCGCACACTCTGGGAACAAGAAGGAATCAATAGGTCGATTCGTGAAGACATTGTCTTGTGATGCCTCTTCTACGAACTTCCACAGGCACGGTGCTTCGGTCACGTTGTGGTCTCTGAAGGAAATTTTGGGTCTTAGTGACGTCAGAGCGTCTCTTCGGCATAAGATTCTCGCTACTTCAGCCATGCGGCACTCCGAACTTCGAACTACTTAGTGTCAGAGGAATCTACATTACCGGGCATAGGCTTCCATGGGATCCACACAGTGATCGAGGATGGAGTTGGAGAAATGTTTATAGTCGAGCCTGCCATTGTTGCGCGCGTAACGTTTGAGAGCTTCTTTACTCAACTTTGGTGTTCCCTCGATGGCTTGAAACAGTCGGTTCAGTTGCAGACTCACCGCCACAAAATCCGGCGTCCCCACCAAAGCATTCACCAAATGCAAAAGAGAAAAGCAGAAAGCGAGACAATACATCCACGAGCTATACATCCTCGGTAAAAGCCTAGAAATCAGGACAATAACGCAAAAAACACCCAGACGAGCGCAGTCACTGCTATGGGAGCGAAGAAACGGTTTGGACAGACGTCACGGTATACAGTTTTTTTCCAATCCAGATACGGGTGCTTCTCGTTTCTACATTCGTAGTGTAGAGAATGAGAACGACCTCTCAGTGTCGACGCTTGTGCGCCTAGGTGAGCGCGCCCATACATTCCTCTCCGACACCCCTCTGCTGCGTCTGTTTCACACCGAGTGCAGTCGGACCGCCATTCTTCAATAGAGAGGATTCCGGAATTCCTCCCCGCTTTCTCAGAATCATGAGCATTCCTTATCGTTCTAAGGTTCAGGCTTCAGCCAACCAGACTCCGCATCCGAGCCGTCTCGAAACCGGGGCTGATTTCGATCGAGAAGGCAACGAATGAAACATCAATCATCTCACAACGTTCATTCACAGAACATTCATTGACGTTTCTGTGGTTTCCAGAACAGGTCCACGGTCGCTCAAACTGATGAGTGGCTCTCGAGTTCTTCACGACTCCTCGAGCCCTCAGCTTAGGGCACAAGGAGCATCGAGACCCCGCATCAGCTTCCAGAGGAGATCCTAGAAACAGCTATGATCTTCAGAGCTATGATCTCCTCCTCGACCCGCTTCAAGGAACATGAAGCTAGCTCCTCGAAGTTCGTCCCCGGATCGAGTACTCGGTGAGGGTATCGGACGTTATTGCACTGTTCCAATTTTATTGCAGAATTCGCTGTCTCACAGGACCCCTGTCCGACATCGACTACGCATCACATAGTTCTTTCTTGACAAAAAGATATTCGCAACCCATTCTACCTTCAAGCCCACAGCTGACGCATGTTGATAGCATGAAGTTGTCATTCAAGAGTCGTTGTATCGTTGTTAATAGTTGAAACTTCGAAAAACCGTTTAATGGGAATCGATGCAAGTGATTCGAATCCGAACTCAGCCAAGTCGAGGAAGTTGAGCTCTCCAAGCTGTCAATTATTTCCGGGAATGTCTCTTCTACGAGCTTTCGATCTCCAGACACCAGAATCCTTTCTCCTGGAAGAAGCATCTCAGGTATATCGAAGTGAGCCAAGGCAGACACATGGTTCCCGCGTGCCGACTCTCCCCGCGTATCTTTGGAAGAGGAACGAATGGGGGAGCAGCTTTATATCCGAACGCACCTAAATCAGGAGATGTGCTGAGCAGAATACATTGGTGAGCCAGAGTTCTTCCTCGTCGACACGCCCGCTTGGCGTCGGGACTCGAACTCCGCGATCTCCTCAAGAGATTTTGCAAGGCCTGGTTGAGTAGAGGTATGTCGTAGAACTTCGCTTCCTCCATTAGTAAATTGAATTCGCTGAAGTCCTTGGGGAGCACCAGACGTCCGAAACGGAGGAAGTTGAGCACGTGGCGGAATGTGGGGCCGTCTCGATCGATGAAATAATGTTGCTTCAGCGTATCGAGTACTATCGGGATCGATCCGTTGAATAAGCGACCGATCTTCGAGTCAGGGTATCTGAATGGGAAAAGGGGAAGAGCTCAGAATATTCTATCAATCGGCGCGAGATACCGAAGAGCTCGCGTTTCGATGCCGAAAGCTTAGGAGCTCGTCCAGTGTGAGAACCAAAACGAGATCAGCGTTCATCGAATCGGGAGGAGCTCGAGTTTGCATGAACTGAGCAGCCCGCGAACCTCGTGAGGGTCTCCAAGGATGATGTGTAAGTCACACCGCCCACATCGATGTGCACCGGGGCAGTGTAGCGGGACGGAGCGGCTGCGCAAGGGATACCCGAGATCTTCGGTGTGTCCGGAGCGAATAGATCACCGCCGGAACTTGTCGCGGGTGTCGCGGCTGCTGCGGCAGCCATCTGCAAGAACTTATGGTCCACCCACGACCTACGGAATGGGGATGGTAAATCAGATTTCTTGCTTCGAGGGAAGCGATTTAATCATCATCATCAGCATCGTCATCAAGCATCAAGCGCTTGCCATTGATGCGCGGCCTTACCGCGGTGAGTTCTCCAAGTTGTGGTTCAGCATGGCAGAAGACCTCCGGCTGCCTCTGCGCGGTAGAAAATCGCCTAGTCGCAGACTCTCCTTGAAATCCCGACCGCTGGGAAAATAAGCGGATCCAATGCGGAATGCAGCTCGATAATCCTCATTGCTCTGCTCTCTGCTTCGGTTCCGTCACACAAGGGTGAGATGGCGCAGAAGCAATTGTCTCTCAAGAACTTACCTGTTCGATAGCAAGGTCGACAGAGCTGGTGGTGAGCGACTCGGAGACCGATCCCCGCTCGGAGCACGGGACATGATGCCGACAAGTGAGAGATCCCTCGACCATCACAATCAGGATGACTCTCAGGAGGCGGGAAAGGCGGTAGATGCGTACTGGAGCCGTTCACGCTGAAATGGGAGGAGGATCGAACGCAAGCCACGCCCCTGGAGCTCGTCAGGATTCGTCGGATTCCCATCAGTTCCCCGCTCACAACGCGCATGTGCTCCTGAAGGCGAGCTATTCACGTCCGCGATATCGGGAGCGGAGAAAATTTTTCAAATCCATCAGTGAAGGTCTCTTGTCACCGTAGGCAACACGAGCCATTCGGAGACGAGGTCCGACAGCTCAAATCCTAAATCACGAACTCCCGATGGAAGCAGGGGCGGAATGAGTGCCCAATGAGATTCTTCCGATTTCACACGATTCTCCACTCGATCCGCGAAGAGGTTGCCTCCCGTACCGAAGAGATAGTCCGAAATAATCTCGAGACATCTCGGAGGTGCCGTCATCACGACAGCATTCCGAGCGTGGTTCCGCAGGAGCTCAGAGAACGACCCTGTCTCCCGTATTGACGCAATTATCAGGAAGAGGAAGCATTGCTGATGGTCTGGATGGTGGTTCCGACCCCGACTTGATGAAAACCCTTATTGATAATCTATCATCATCCCAAACTGGTTTGGGTATCCGGTCTCTGAGCATTCCTACGAATGTCCCAAGAAGACTCGCTTAGGAGTTCAACGGTTCGGGAACCACGGACTCTCAGGTCCGTGATTCACTCGAAGCTACAATGCATAAGCGACAAAACTGAGAAAATCCGACTTCGGAAGTCTCAAACGTGTTTCTCGAGCGAGCTCATGAAGGGTGCCGAGCCATGCTTACGGAAAATTTTTGTCGACGATGGTTATCTCGAAGATTCGCCTCAGCTTGAGTCCTCGTCGAACGCAACTTCACGTCGGTTGTCTTTCTCAGCTCCTATCGGGGTTCTCGGAAAGAGTATATTCCGTCTCCGAGCTGGGGTGTCAGGAACACGCTGGACGAATCATAAGATAAATCGAGTGAAGCGAGAGACGGAGTGGATATCGGATATGTCAGGTGATCCTACTTCTCTCAGGAACAAGATAGCGATAATTGATCAGAATCAGAACACAGTGAACAACTACAGTTCGAAATTTATTGCGTCGATCCCTCGAATATTCTCACGAACAGCGTTCTTCGATCAGTCCCAGTTTCGCTGGATATTCGTCGCCGTTTTTTCCCCGCCCAAATAAAGCTTTCCTCCAGAGCTCCATGGAATGGTCTGCGCGCGTTATTCCATCCGTCAGCGTCATTATCCGGAACGGCTAAGGGACGACGAAGTTGACGACAAGGCAGCTGGGAGCTTCCGAACTCCCGGGGGTAGAGCGTGTCTGAGGACCTTGAGATAATCTGATGATGCCACCTCGAGTTCCTAGAACTGGACGCTCTTTGAGAAAATTTCCCGGGAAAAGTCGTGATGGCCTTATTGCGAAGTCTGGATCGCTCTCCGTTGAGAGCCATTGTGTACCTACTTCTTGTGGGGACGTTGTGCGACAGAATCGATGGGAGTGAAATGACCGACACGTACGTCGATGTTATAAAGCACAGCATCAGAGAGTGGCGGCCCCAGTGCGAAGATTTCTATGGCTTCGCGTGTGTCCATGAGGACCCCGGCTTCTCGAAAGTCACTTCTTACCGCTCGAGACTCATGAGATACCTTGACACTATGGCGATCGAATTGCTCGAACGTCTCTTCGTCAGCTATCAGGACAGATTTCAAACGGCGAAAGTTCGAGACTCTGAAGTTCAAATGTTCAAATTCTACCAGAGTTGCAAAGGACGACATGAGGAGGACCGGCGTCGGAAAAGTGTGAAGACTATCAAGGATCTCCTGGGAGACATCGGAATTCCCCTCGGTACACCCCATGAATCGCAGAGCTCAACAGCCTTCTCCGCCTTGGTCCAACTCTCGTTAATCTGGGGCGTAGAGACCCCGCTCCTGAACTTCGAGGTCAAACCGGGCTTACCGAACAACCCGGAGCGGATCGTGATTCAAGGAGCGAAAGCTGCTAGGACACTGCGACGTCCGAGATTGTTTGCCGCCGGCGCGTCTCCTTTCGACGATATTCGGGAAGAGATGAGGCTCCTGCGCGAAGATCTCCTCAGAATCGTCGGAACACTGCAGACCGATGAGGCCGAGAGACTTCTGTTCGTTACGAAAAACTTGGCTCCGATCTTCGAGCTGTTTCCTTTCGATGCGCCGTCCCGGGCCGCGAGTCATTTCGCGGCGGTCGATACTTTTCTCCGCGAGGTTAACTCGAACCCTACTTCCTTCAGAAATCTGAATTCGTCGTACGTCGGGAGCTTCGAGTCTCTCGAGAGAGATCACAAACTCGATTGGTCCGCAGCGCTGAACTTCAATCTGCGATTCTTGCTCCAAATTACACCCGAATCGCTTGTTGAAGTCCAGAACCTCGGCTACGCGATGGCTTTCGCGGAATTCACTTTGGATCCGCGGTTCCATGACCTTTTCACAGACTACCTCACTATCTGGACAATCCTACACCTCGGGGCATACGCCGGGGGATCCTTAGAGGACGCAGCATGCAGGATCAACGGCGGCCCCGACTGCGAGAAGCGCGAGGACGAAAACCTTCACTGCATCTATGAGGTCCGTATTTGCCGAGATATTCGTGTACTTCCTCTATACGATCAAAATAACTTGGAGTCATCCAGTTCCGTCCATGGAATTCTACGAGAATCTCGATGAGAGCCAGGATTTTCCAGACCAGGATGTTCCTGCCTCACTCATATGATGCTCTCATCGCGCGTCACCTGATCACACCTAGAGCTCGGGACGCTATTCTTCAAAATGTTGCCCTGCAGCAGGCACTCATCGCCCAGGTATGATTCAGCCGCTTTCGAAGATATAAATCGTTGCGTGTTTCCATGAGGATTCGATCCGAAGTCCTTCATTTCAGAGGCTCGAGCTGACTCGCTTCTCGACTGACCTATTTTGCAGCTGATCGTGCGCTCCAACTGGTTGCCCTCCTCGAGTAAGGCGTTGATGATCCGGAAGCTAGCCGCAATGATGTCATATGTTGGCCATCCGGCTCACTTGGACGACTTGAAGGGATACGAGCATCGCGTGGTGCCACGGAGAATTTTCCTTCTGAACATCATGCATTTCTGGAAGGCTTCGGCAGAGTACCGCCTGACCGCCTTCTATCGGAAATACACGCGGAGCGGGAAGATCTGGAGTATTTTGACACCACCTCGGGTAAGAGAATCGATTTGAATGGCCGTTTCCTCTATTCAGCCAGAATCTCGTAGCCGCTATCGGATTGTTCCGATACGAGGATCGGAATTAAGGTCTCGTGAGCTAACTCCAGGATCATTCAGATGCACTTCCCTGAACCCATTTACGATCCCGGGCTGAATGCTATCGTGATCCCGAGCATGTTCGCACTGTTTCCGTACTATGTCGAGTTGGACGACGCTGTACCGGGAGTGTTTGACTTCGCATCGATGGGTCTGGGCATCGGCAAAGCCCTGGCGCGGGCTTTCGACACGGAGAACGGAGCCGTCAATGCATGGGGCGGAGACGACACCGGAGCGCTCTCGTGGCATTCGAACATCGTTCTCCCAATTCGGGTACGTTATCGGCGTTGGCATTGCCATCGTCTTCTTGGTTATTAGTAGATTACTCGGTTTCCGTTATTTCGTCTCCGGTTATTTCGACGGCATGCCATTACAGCAGAGGATGAGCTGTTTCGAGAAAAGCTTCACCAAGAAACTCACAGTAGGGGGCAAGCAACTCTCTCATACCGACTTGCAGAGTCGGGACGAGCTCCAAGCCGACGCAATAGCCTTCGAATTACTGTATCATGGTCGAATTCATTGGAGGAGCATGAATCACCCAGAGAAGGCCGTGTATGCAGAGCTCGCGAAAAAGCTCAATTACACGGACAGCCAGATGCTTTACATCGCGGCTACACTCCCGTCCTGCATGCGACGCAGCACCAGCTCCGTTCTGGAGGCTGTAAGAGCCGGAGAGCCAGTTCAAGCGCTTCGGTTCGAGGGCTTCCTCTCCGTCAATCGAGACTTCGCATCGTCTTTCGGTTGCCGGGCAGAGAGACCCACGTGTTCCTTTTTCACCAGTTACGAATGAGGAAGGAGTAGGCTGCGTCGTGATGTGATCCGACTCTGCAGGCGGCTCGTCCGTCGTCGATTTGCGATGCGCTACCGCTTGTACATTGCGTGGAGCCCAACGGATCGAGGATCGGCCAATTACCACGGAACCATGTACATGACCTTCGTCCTCTCAATGGAGCGAAATTCTAGCATCGATGGTAAAGCATGCTTTCCTCTTACCGCACCACAGAGACGAATGCCGAATTCTTGATTCGAATTTTGATTGAATTGAAAAACGCTTCGATTACTGTATGAAAATTGATAACAAAAACAATTATATATCAACATTTTTATTGAGAATATAAAATGCCTGAGATTGTACTTCGAATTCGATCTTCAGCTCATCGTCATTTGGTAGACGAGGGTGGCGCCGATCCCAGCGACGCTGCCTATCAGATACGGAGCGCTCGACATGACGAAATTGAACGGATTCGGTCTCTTCCACATCAGCTGACGGAAAATCTCTATTCCTAGCGAGCTCTGCGGAGGATAGCGAAACTTGCCCAGATATTCCCCGACCGGATTGAAGTCCCGCTCAAGAACAGGCTTTTTGTTACTGAAACAATCGAATGAATGTTTCCCGTGGTAACGACCCATGCCCGAGGGCCCAACCCCGCCGAAGGGAACCGAGTCTATGGTTAGCATGACCAGAACATCGTTCGCGCAGACAGATCCAGAGGATGTCCGCTCGATGAAGCCATCGATGACTGTTCGGTCGCGACTGAAAACATACGCCGTGAGGGGTTTGTCGCGTGCATTGATCATTTCGATTGCCTCGGAAAGATCCCTGACTTTTATGACCGGTAGTATTGGGCCGAAAATTTCTTCCGCCATGATAGGATCAGATATTGCCACGTCTCGCAAAAGAGTCGGCGAGACGTAGCACGTTTCGACGTCGACGTCGCCCCCGAATACCGCCTGGGATCCCTGCAGGAGATTTTGAAGTCGTTTCGCATGTCTCGAACTGACGATGCGGCCGAAATCCGGGGATTTCTTGGGATCGTCTCCGTAGAACTGTTTTACGACCCGCTTGCTGACGTCAATGAACTCCTCGTAGATCTTTTCTGGAACGAAAACATGGTCTGGACCGACACACGTCTGACCAGCGTTCACGAACTTGCCCCAGAGAAGCCGCTTGGTGGCAACCTCAAGATCAACATCGCTGTCGATGTAAACCGGACACTTCCCGCCGAGCTCCAGCACGATCGGTGTGAGGTATCTCTGAGCCGCGGCGTGGACAATCTTGCCGCCATTGATCGAACCAGTGTAGAAAATATGATCGAATTTCTCTTTCAGTAGCTCTGAGGATTCCGGGATTCCCCCCGGAATCACCAGGGTGGCGTCGGGGTCCATGTAAGCGGACATCTTCTCGAAGAGAGCCGCGGTCTCGGGAGACAAGTCGGAGGGTTTGAAGACCACGGCATTCCCGGCGGCGAGAGCTCCGACTCCAGGGCTCAGCGTCAACATCACGGGATAGTTCCAGGCGCCCATTACAAGACAGACGCCGTAGGGCTCGTTCCACATGTAAAGAGTGTCGAGCATTGAGAGCGCGTTCCGGCTAATGGGCTCCGGCTTGACCCACTCGTGGATTTCCTGTAGAGCGCCACGGATTTCGTTGATGACAAATTCGACTTCGAACAAGTCGGCTTCCATCGGATTTTTGTTCAAATCCTTCTTCATGGCCTGTTTGAATGCTCCGCGATGATCCTCCAGGAATCGTCTCATAGCTTTTAATTGTTGAATACGCCATTTCACGCTTTTCGTTTTGCCTGCAAGGGGGAAATCATTCGTATCTCTCTCTCTCTGAATACCGAGTCTCCGCCGATGTGTCAGTTCCACATCCGCGTACCTCGACTTACCGGAAGCGAAGGATCGTCGCAGTCTGTCGAGTCGATCCGTGTACTTCGTATGAACTCTCTCCTCAGCACCGAGAGTGTGGAAAGGAATCACGGCGTCGGACATTGATTTTTCTGTAAATATTCGCGATCGCCTCACAGGAGACGGAGATTGCCGAGAAGCTTATTTGCAATGGGGAAATACCGAAGAATCTAAACGATACACGGCCTGACTTTAAAAAGTTAAGCAAGGACCGAGGGAGCTCCGCACCGATCTCTGAGTCACTCAAGCTCGCCGAAATTCTCTTTTGAGTAGGTTTCAAGGTCGCAGGGAGAGCACAGTTCGTGAAGAGTGTGGCGTTGACTGCGTCGAGCTTGAGAAAAGTCTCTGTTTCGAGAAAACTTTCTCCGTATGGATCGGTAGAGCTCCTCGAGGAGCTGAACGAGCATCTTGATGCTGAAGTCCGCAGGCATGCTCTGCTCCATCCTTACTTGAGTACGAGAAAAAAACTTCATTGGTTTGCCCCATCCTCTTTGACTCGGAATATTGAAGTAGATGATTTGTTAGAGATCCTCGAGATTGAATCCGAAGCTTTTGAATACGGCCTTGTATCCTTACAAGATTGCGAATTGTCCTCGCTGAATATAGATCACATCGATCGATTAGTTTCTGAATTTTGCTTTCTGGCTATGAGCGGCTAAAGCTTGTCGACGGAGGAGGGAATACATGACCGCGATGACTGATGGCTTGTGTTTCATGAAATCCTGCTTCCTGGACCGAGATACAAAATTCGTGAGGATGACGCCCGGTCGGAAGGAGAGGAGGCCCCCCTCGCCGGAGAGTATCAAGTAACAGGGAAACAAATCGAATATTATATATGTTTCGCTGGGCAACGCAACACGAGAAAGAATAATGATCATCCTAACATCGCGGAAAAAAACGTCCAATGGCTTTATCACTGTTCTCTTTATTGAGTATAATAAAATAATAATAATCATTCTCGTTATCTCCACCATCAAATACAGTTCTATGTACAACAGATCCCGGAGCTCCGGTACTTCTTTCTCACATGTGCGTTATTTCGGTCTCACGACTACATAAAGGAAGTTGTCGGCGTAACTCATGTTTACACCCAACCATTGCAGAGGGGCTTCCAGTGGGGCTGGCACACCATGCAGGAGAACCTCGTATCTCTCGTCTGAAAACTCCTGAATCCAATCGTTGAGAACCTCCCGGAGGGTCAGGGGCTCGTTCTCGGCGTTGCTGATACCGACCAATTTTTGGAGTTGGCGACAATTTTCCGATAGAAAGACCCGCAGCGGCACATGCTTCCAGGGCTCTCCAGTGAACATGAGCTTCCGATTAACGGCCCAGAAGTTCTCAGTCTGAAAAATCAGGGATACCGATATTACTTACCGAGGCTCAGATCCATCTTGGCGACATGTTCAGAACAGATGAAACCGAGAATCCCCCTCATGGATCATTTCCGCTCAGACGAAAAGCCCAAGCCCCATGATCCGGCACTCACTCTCAAACTGTGAAGGGCTGCGGTCATCTGCCGTCGTTCACCTTGCGTCATCGTATTCATGACTTTTTTCCGGGTTTTCAGGAAATCCGCTTCCTTGATACTGTTCAGGAACTGCGCCTCTGCGACCTTTAATAAACGAGGGATGCTGTTTACCCGGTCATGGTCAAGGTTTATGATCAACCCGAGATGTTCTCCCGGGAGCAAGTCCAAGCTCACCTGGCGCGAAGGGCAGGCCAGAACTTCTTTCACAGGGAAATCATTGAAGTGGACCGTGATATTCCAGGGAAGAGTGGCTTTCTCCCCAAGGAGATCAAATAGCAGCCCGATCGGGTACTGCCAACGGAGCGGCACGAGGTTATATTCTAGCCAGATTGGTGACGACCGGCTTTCTTCCGTCACAAAATGAGCGAAGTGACGTTGAATCTAAAACACGCTCGGGTTATCACGGAATGAGTCTTCGCAAAAGTTCTCTAATCACTATCGCCAGTCATCAGGTGGCGGCGATGTTCAGAACGGCCATGGAACGATTAGAAACGAACTTTTTCCCACAGTAGAGGTAGATAGGATATCCTCGGAAGCATAGCGAAAAATGGTTCCGGATTCTGGAGCGAAGTGCATTCATGGCTTGCAAGCTTGAAGCAAGCGGGTATGCTCCCAGACCAAATGGCTTCGATGACGTCTCGATCCTCCGACATCTGAGAATCGAATGATATCTCCTGAGAATACCGCAGGATTCCCCGACAAGAAAATGATCACATACGGAGGGGAATGGCGGAGCGTAGCTCCGACAGATATTCAGGGAGGCAGGAATTCGAATTCCGACATGACTCAATATTCAGCGGTAAGGAAATCCATGAATCGTTACTTTGAGCATCATGGTGGGTAACTGGAGCTCGGACTCGAGAGAGAGTTGAGAGTGGGAGTTCTCGATTCTCGCGGTAGAAGAGAAAATAGAGTCTGCGCTTCTCTGCCTACCTTGAGCCGAGCTCCCGGTCCTGGGACGGGTTCGTGACTGTATCCACGGGGTTTTCGAGATTACAGGCTGTCCTGAAGCACTCGAGTCCGTGATGGAATCACCTATCTACGATGATTGAACAGGATAGGATCTCCTTCGAATTTCGCTCAACTTCTCTGCGTATAGTCTGATTGTATTGACGTGTCTGCTGCTTGTGATCTCTGTTGGCTTGTATGTTCCGCCCAAGGGCGCGCACCGTCATCATTGATTTGTGTATCTCGATTACGCATCACGCAATCCCGGAATCGGAATTGGTAATATAAAATGGATTTTCGATGTTGACGAGCTCGGTGCCTTCCCGAAACTCCCACAACCGCTGTTGGAGTCTTATCCTCGCGGTGACTCGCGGAAGGTCTCGACAGGGAAGGGACGAAGTGGAGACCGATCTTTGGACCACGAATAAGGATACGAACCGTGCCCTCGTATGGCAATGATAAAGGAGGAGAATAGGGATTCGAAACCGTAAATTGATTTATATCGAACTTCGAGTCGCCGGCATCGCCGGTATAACAATACACTGTAAGCATTTCAGCCGCTGCGGAATCTTATCTTTAAAAACTCATCCCGGGAGCCATGCCGTGGGAATCTCACTGCTTCTGCTCGGTCACCGTCGTTAGATACTGATAAAGGAAAACGCCGCCGGCCCCGAGAGCAGCTCCAATCGCATATGGGACGGCTTTACAAGCGAAAGCCAAAGGATTCGATCGCTTCAGCAAGAGTTGTTGGAAAAGTTTCAGTTTACCATCCGTGTACGGAGGGTATCGTTTTTTGCCCAACATTTCTCCGATGGGGTTGAAGTCTCTCTGTAGTACAGCTTTCTTGTTGCTGTAGCAATCGAAAGAATGCTTGCCGTGGTATTTCCCGATTCCGGAATTCCCAACGCCACCGAAGGGTAGCGTGTCGAGGGACAGCTGGACGACGACGTCATTCACGCAGACGGATCCCGATGTCGTCTCCTGGATGAAGCGTTTGATAACGCGGCTATCCTTCGCGAAAACATAGGCCGTCAAGGGTTTGTCGCGCGAGTTGATGTATTCGATCGCTTCAGTCAAATCTGCCGTCTTCAGCACCGGCAGGATCGGTCCGAAAATCTCCTCCCGCATGATGGGATCAGTTTTCTTGACGTTTCGGAGAACCGTTGGTGCCACATAACGGTTGTTCGTGTCCGAGTCTCCCCCTACAGCGGCGTCGACGTCTTGCAGTAGGCTTTCCAGTCTCTTAGCGTGACGCGGCGTGACGATCCTCCCGAAATCTTTGGATTCCTTGGGGTTGTCGCCGAAGAATTCGACTGCCACAGTTTTGCAGATGTCGATTATTCTGTCGTAGATTGCCTCAGTACAGAGGATGTAATCAGGAGCCACACATGTCTGCCCGGCGTTGATCCACTTGCCCCATAGAATCCGCCTGACCGAGATTTCCAAATCCGCGCTTGCATCGATGAACACCGGCGACTTTCCTCCGAGTTCGAGAACGACCGGCGTCAGGTGCTTCTGGGCCGCAGCGTGAACGATCTTGCCCACGTTCACGGATCCCGTATAGAAAATATGGTCGAATTTCTCCTTCAACAGCTCCGTTGTTTCCGGGATTCCTCCATTGACCACCAAGAAGGCATCAGGGTCCAAGTAGTCGGTCAGTTTCTCCATGAGCAAAGCCGTCGCCGGTGAGAGATCAGAAGGCTTCAGAACCACGGCGTTCCCGGCGGCAATCGCTCCGATAGCGGGGGCTATCGCGAGATTGACCGGATAGTTCCACGCTCCCATGATCAGACACACTCCCAAGGGTTCACTGTGAATGTACGGCTTGTCTAGGACAGTCATGGGATTCTTCCCGACGGGCTCGGGTTTGACCCAATCGTGTATATCTGACAAGGCACCCTTGACTTCATTGAGAGTGACTTCGAGTTCGAAAAGAACGCTCTCCATCTTATTCTTGCTCAGATCTTTATCCAGCGCCTCAATCATCGCGTCGCGATTCTCCGAGAAGAAACGCTCGAGCTGCTTCAGTTGTTCGACACGCCATTTGATGTTTCTGGTGCGTCCTGTAAGAGATGAGTCAGAATTTGAGACGACAGCAATGAAGCGGATCGTTCATTGGTCTGAGATTGATTGGTACGTCTTCCGGGAGTGCTTCCAAGAAACTTCCACAAAGAGAGCAATTATATTCTCGCGTAAACATGCCGGGTTCTTTTCAACTTTGCCGAAGCTGACTCTCCAATTTTTCTCAAGTTTTGTTCCATTATCATCATGGCTCCGACGTCCAGCCAGCGGCCGGAGGCCTCCAAATGGTCAAGTCAACCCAATGCGGTGAGCTTTCATCGCCCGGGGTAAACTCCGTTCGCTCCCATCGCTCGCGGTAGACTCCATTCGTTTCCCAAAATGATTGCGGATTGAGACTGATTATGATAAACTAAGCGAGGCATATGTCAATCGTTCAATCCGAGTAGAGCTCCGGAGCTGCCCTAGGAGCGCTGACCGAGATAGCTTCGGATGTTGCGGATCGGTTGAATCATCTCCACCTGGGGAGTCTGATAAATGGATAAGATTCTGACCTGAAGCGAAGGTCGCCCGAAGTTTGTCGATTTGGCCGGTGTACTTCGTTTCCACTTTTTCCCCGCCATCCAGAATGTGAAACGGTTTCGCCGCCTCTGCCATTTCCGATGTGATGATGCTGTGGACAAAAAAGGATAAAATTCCTCAGAAATACCAGCGAAAGACCGTGAAAGACTCGAATAACATCAACGTCGGATGAAGAACGCGAATACGCGATTGACCGCGCATCGGCACCGTCGAAGCTCAAGGCCACGCACCGGATGAAGTAAGATGAAGCGGCCGATTACTCGTCCGCGGTTCGTATCTGACTTCTATGATATTTCAGTCAAGACCTGTGCTCTTGGATGGCGCGTAATGTTGGAAAACTAAATCCAGAGACTACTCGATTTTCACAGGTCAGACTCCGGAAGTTTCGCACCGAGGAAGTGAATGTCAGCCGTTTGATTGACGCTTCGAACCGCTAATCTGAGCAAGTCCTCGATCAGCCACCTAGACTACACCTTACTCACTCAGAACTTGTGGAGCCGAAAGGATCGAATCGTGACTAAACGAAAATAAACAGATAACAGTAACAGGCTGCTTACGGCTTAGTCAACGCCTCAAGCGGTTTCCAACTATCTTTGAGTGGAGGACGACCGGATGTTTCGGAAAGGTGTCGCTTTGTCGTGTGGGGCTGTGTTGATGTCGACGGGAGAGGGTCGTCGACTCTCGTCGGGGAAAGAGAGTGCTTGTATAAGCTCTGTGAGGAATCTGGGAAGTGATGGTCTCCGAGAGGGAGAACAGAATTCCCTGAGACCAGGGACTGGTAACCTCGAGGGTGTAGGTCTGTAATTCGAATGGAAACGGCGGGAAGTTTTCTGAACAGCGAAGAACGCACGTTTCGCGCGGTAGACACATAAGCCCGCTGGTTCCAAGGTCATCGTAATAGAAAGCCGAAAAGAGAGTAGCCAATTATACTCCGTCGCACGCAAGCGCCAGCCGTCAGAGAGAAACGTTCCAGGGAAGATTCTGTGACCCGACATTAGAGGAGCAATACAATCCAATACAATAAAGTACAATACAAGAGGGGTCTCCGATAGGTTTCAGAAGCCCGGGAGCCTATACTCCTACCAACAAAACACCTTCAGGATTATGGGATGGCAGCTGGCCCAACTAAAGGAGGCTATGTTTGCCTCCGGACAACACGAACTCATGATCGTACTTCGAACTGATCCATCGCGCGAAACGAAAAACGGAATTTCGGAGCTGGGAAACCTCCGGACCTCTCGAAGCTCTTTCCGACCGAGCTCTCACGAAGGTTTTGAATGGAGCATGGCACTGCACAGGCAATGCTGTTCTCACGTACACATTCAACCGCTTCCAAGCGGCGAGACCGATTGTGGATTCTGAAGTCGACAGTCGGAAATACAGTTGAAATTCCTCTTACGCCATTAATTGGTTCGCGACGAACCGACGTTAGTCGCGGGACGACGTGAATCGAGGATGGATTCTCCGGCGAGCGGGCAGATGCTTTTCTAGGTACGGCAGCGAAGACTTGGTATGCATGTTCGTCGCTCGGCTGGTGGATGATCTTATCCAGAAGTCCTTCGATTCGACTCTTGTCACAACAATTTTCAATCGAATCTTTCTCTTTTTGGGAAAGCGCTTGTCTGATCTAACCTGCTCCTCATCGTCTTCTAAATTGTTGCGATACAGAGAGAGATCGCTATCTACGATTTCAATGATCTCCGAGGAGCGATCGGGATGCCTTTCTCTGAAGTTCTTTCGAGCCTGTCCAATCAAGGGAAACGATTGAGTCGTCGACCGTCACTCTACCTCGTACATATCCGGCACTATTATCCTAGAATGTACCGACCCATTACTCGGACAGGAGAGGATGGTTAGAGTATGAGGTCGACGTGAGTCGAGGCGACGTGAGTCGAGGCGACGTACCTAGGAAGTTTGTCTGTACTCGATCTGTCGTCGATCTGGGTAGGCGAGCTTTAGAAGATAAGAAGTCAGACAGAAAATGACAGCTTGAGAGATATTTACGAATCATTCCAGATGTGCCTATTCGAGCGGACCACAACCACTTGTTTCATGGTGAGGCTCGGACTCATCGGGAGAATCCGTCCTCCCGCGCAAGGCAAGGGCATTCGAGATGACCGTCGTACACGAGCTGAGCTCAAAACACTTTGTCCTGAGTATTTGCCTCACTTAGGAGTGCTCGTCGGGGATGGTCGAATTCGGAATTAATGTAGGCAAGAGCATGAATCAATCAAAATTTATCAAGCTGATTTAGCATAATGTTCGTTCAACTTGGAAGGAGTGCACGATGACGAAAATGGTGGCTCCGAAATCAATCGGGTCGATTGGAAAGAATTGTGACATTCGTTCATTTTTCGAACATTGTCCGGGGGAACAAGCTCCCGCATTCATCTCCTGGACTACTCCAGCCCCGACTTTGTCGAATCGTGCTCAAAGAGAATATCGAGGATTTCCTGACTTGAGCAAGTCCGCATGAAAATCGGCCTCGTCGAATGATTCCCGAGGATGATCATGCAGTATATCGGGATATGAATCTGGCATAACTATGAGCAGAACGAGAAAAAGAAACTTTCTTTCTTATAGACATACCTTGAATCGAAACCTTACATAAATGAGCGACAGCGGAAGCAACGCGACTCAAAACATCGTCCCCACAAAAATCTCTCCCATAAGTTTGGTTCGCCCTGAAACAGCACAGTGAGGGGTTCTGTCGTTATTGAGGGCCGCTGTTAGTGAGGATATATGACTTCACTAGCTGAGCGGCACATATTTATAGATCGCTCAGGGGTTGCAGCCCGGAACATCTGATTTCCCCGTCACAGTTGTCGTACTGATTGATGTTGTCCATCGCCGCACGGCTTTCATTAGGGATTCGGCTTCTCAGATTGATATAGCGAAAGAGCTATTGCCAACGAGAAGCGCGTCGTACGGGACATCGGTTCCGACTCTGTGAGAAATCCGCGGACAACGCAACTCAGAATGCTGTAATCAGCCTCGGAGGAAGGAAATTAGCCGAAATATACCGCGTGTCTTCCTTTGACAGGGGAAGTTTCATTCGACATAGTGTCCGGTAGCGTCAATCATCGCGTTTTTACTGAACGCAATTTTTCCACGCTGCAAAAGAAAGGGATGCAAAAGAAATAAGCTGGCAGGCATATTGCCCACGGCACAATCTTTCCTTAATCGGACGCCAACTTCCCTCGGTCTCTCTTTCGCACGAGTTAAGTTTCGCGGTTCTCTGCTGCCTGCTGGAATCCGATGCGATTTGTCGTTTTATGTCATTCATCATCGTGAACCTACGGGGAAACAAAAATCACCGTTCTGAAACGGCATTCAGTCCCAAACAATCATCCTCCAAGCAGAGCCCGCCGTCACTCCGCCGTCGCTCCGCTCATGGATGTTTGTATGATTATTGCATG